AATTTATTTTAATTTTATTTATTTTATTTCATTTTGATTTTATTTATTTCATTTTATTTATTTATTTTAATTTTATTGTATTTTTATTGTTATTTATTTCATTTTATTTTTTAATTTTATTTAAAATTTTATTTAATTTTTTAAATTTTATTTTATTAATTCTGTGTGTTCTGTTTTGCTGCTGCCAGACTCCAGACTGTAATGACTGTAATGGTAAATTCCAGCCGAACGCTGTTGTGTAACGAGTGTGTGTGTGTGTGTGTGTTTATCAGAGGAGACAGAAACCATATATATTCAGAGATGTATATCACACTCAGCGTTATGAATGAAGCAGTCATGAGCGCCGAAACACGAGCTCAGATTCTCTTATTCTCACTATAATTATTCTTCCTGTTCAGAGGCCGATTGTGCTGCTGAGACACGAAATACTGCCCAGATACACACACAAACACACACACACGCACACACACACACACACACACACACACACACACACACACACACACACACACACACACACACTCAGCTCGTGCCCTGTATATGTGTGGGTGTGTTCCCTCACAAAGTGTGTGTGTTTAGGAAAGCAGTTTGACATGATGCTTTTATGTTTTTTTATTTTTTTTTATTTTAAGCATGCCATAAAAGTTCCACATACACACAATAATATTAATATTACACACACACACACACACACACACACACACACACACACACACGCACGCACGCACGCACACACAAAACCTCACACACATACAAACAAACACAGAACAAAAGACATTAAATACTCACACAAACATACACACAAAAAACATAAATCCACACACACGCATATAAATATACACACAAACACAGACAAAATAATAATGATGATGACGTCTACATGTTCCACAATTTTATTTCATTATTAACTTTTTTATACCAGATAATACTGCAGATACTATCATTTATACTGTAGTGTGTGTGTGTGTGTGTGTGTGTGTGTGTGTGTGTGTGTGTGTGTGTGTGTGTGTGTGTGTGTGTAGTACTGCAGGCACGGCATGTGTGTGAATAAGCAGCAGGACCTGAAGCCGGTGGATGGTGAGTGGGGCCCCTGGGGGCCGTACAGCGTCTGCTCCAGAACCTGTGGAGGAGGAACACGCAGCAGCAGCAGAGACTGCAACAAACCTGAGTGAGTCACACACACACACACACACGCATCACTGCAGATGGCTTAATTAAACACACACTAAACTGATCAACAGTGGAATCATAAGATCATAACTTCTGTCTGTGTGTGTCCATATAAAAATACTATAGTAATTTAGACTAAACACTGTAGTGCCTTTGAACCATACTACTCTACAGTACTTTAATTGATCTGTTGTGGTGATTCTACAGTTGCTATGGTAACACAACAACTATAGTAATTGATCTGTTGTGGGGATTCTACAGTTGCTATGGTAACACAACAACTATAGTAACTGATCTGTTGTGGTGATTCTACAGTTGCTATGGTAACACAACAACTACAGTAATTGATCTGTTGTGGTGATTCTACAGTTGCTATGGTAACACAACAACTACAGTAATTGATCTGTTGTGGTGATTCTACAGTTGCTATAGTAGCATTGATTTGCTTTACTGATCATCAATAATTTATTGTTTGATTGATTAATTTACTGATGTATTGATCGCTCTGCTTCAGAGACGGTCATTGATTGATTGATGGTGTGTGTTCTTCAGGCCGAGGAGCGGCGGGCGCTTCTGTGTGGGCCGCAGGATGAAGTTTCGCTCCTGCAACACAGATGCCTGTCCTCGAGGACAGAGAGACTTCAGAGAGGAGCAGTGCTCACAGTTCAACAACAGACACTTCAACATCAACGGCCTGCCAGCGTCTGTGCGCTGGATACCCAAATACAGTGGCAGTGAGTATCACTCACACACACACACACACACACACACACACACACACACACACACACACACACACACTATTATAATAATACAGTATATGTTGTAGTAATTACTACTGCTACTAATTTTGCTATAGAGTTCCAAATTTGTCACACAACAGGTTAATTACTATAATTTCTGTTACCATAGCAACTATACATTTACCGCAACTGATAGATTACTATAGTAGTTGTGTTACCATAGCAACTATAGAATCATCATAACATCCGTTATTGTAGTTGTAGTGTTACCATAGCAACTATAGAATCATTACAACATCAGTTATTGTAGTTGAGTCACCATAGCAACTATAGAATCATCACAACACCAATTATTGTAGTTGTCATGTTACCATAGCAATTATAGAAACCTCACAAAACCTAATATTTAAAGTTGAGTTACTATTGCAACTATAGAATCATCACAACATCAGTTTGTAGTTGTCGTGTTACCATAGCAATTATAGAATCATCACAACATCAATAATTGTAGTTAAGTTACCATAGCAACTATAGAATCATTACAACATCAGTTATTGTAGTTGTAGTGTTGCTATAGCAACTATAAAATTGTTACAACATCAGTTATTGTAGTTGAGTTACCATAGCAACTATAGATTCATTACAACATCAATTATTGTAGCTGAGTCACCATAGCAACTATAAAATTATTACAATGTCAATTATTGTAGTTGTAGTGTTACCATAGCAACTATAAAATCATTACAACATCAATTATTGTAGTTGTAGTGTTACAACAACAACTATAGAATCATCACAACAAATCAATTATTATATTTGAGGTAACATGGCAACTATAGAATCCCCACAACATCAATTATTGTAGTTGAGTTACCATAGCAACTATAGAATCATTACAATGTCAATTATTGTAGTTTAGTTACCATAGCAACTATAGAATCACAACAAACCAATACATGTACTTTACAATAGTATGGTTCAAAGACATTACAGTATTTAGTATAAATTACTATAGTATTTTTGAATAGGCATACACACTGTACAGACGGAATGTATTAATTATTTTATTATGTGTGTGTGTGTGTGTGTGTGTGTGTGTGTGTGTGTGTGTGTGTGTGTGTGTGTGTGTGTGTGTGTGTGTGTATCAGTTCTGATGAAGGACCGCTGTAAGCTCTTCTGTCGAGCCGCAGGGACGATGGCCTATTATCAGCTGAGGGATCGTGTTGTGGACGGGACGCCGTGTGGACCAGACACTTACGACATCTGTGTGCAGGGACTCTGCAGGGTACACACACTAACATACACTCTTATATTCAACACAAACTACACATGCTCTATGACTCCACTGATGATCAGTTCAGTGTGTGTTTAATTAAAGGAAATTGAGATCAAACTTTAGGGTGATCCATTTAAATGCCATAGTTTACAGTACGTGTTTATCTGTTTGCCTCTTAGCAAGCAGGCTGTGACCACGTTCTGAACTCGAAGGCCAGAAATGATAAGTGTGGTGTTTGTGGAGGAGATAACTCATCCTGTAAGACGCTCTCCGGCACCTTCAACAACGCACAATACGGTGAAGATCTGCTGTTATTTCTCCTCATTCTCCTCATGTGCTTCTGCTTTTTCTCATCTCCTTCTCTTGTATTACAGGTTATAATGTTGTGGTTCGAATACCTGCGGGTGCGACCAACATCGACATAAAGCAGGTCAGCTACTCAGGATTACCAGAAGACGACAACTACCTCGGTCAGTTCACTGCAAACACAAAAACACACACTGTAGGAAACACACCAAAAGTAAAGCAGATTTCAGATCTGCATTGTAAGAAATAGCTGTCAATGAACAGTTTCTGTATTTAGTAATGGATTATTTGCGGTTGTGAGTTGCATAGTGAGATGTTGATCTTGACCTATTGTTCCTCCTTTCAGCTCTTTCTGACAGTCAGTCGAACTTCCTCCTGAACGGGAACTTCGTAGTGTCCATGTTTAAAAGGGAAATCAGCTTTAAGGGATCAGAGATCGAGTACAGCGGCTCTAACACTACGGTGGAGCGAATCAACTGTACACAGCGCATCGAGGAGGAGCTCGTGCTGCAGGCAAGACCACACCCCCTGCTGGGCTCCGATTTAATCACATTTCACCATCAGTGTCACACAAAACCACACTGAACCAATCACACTTCACCGTCAGTGTCACATGACAGAAAACCAGATTACCAATCAAATATCTTATCTTTCACATTATTTCGCTGTGTTTAGTTAGGAATATGCTTCAAAGGTTCGTAGTACTTAAGAATTAAGGTTATGTAAGATGAAAACAATGTTGTGTATATACAGTATATGCTATTTTATTTTAATGTTTACATCTGTTTGCAGTTTTGGTTAGTATTTTGTGTACTTTTTGTTTTTATATCTTACATATTTAGGTTTATTTTTAGTACTTAAGTAAATTTCATTTCAGCTAGTTTGCCTATTAGTTAAGCACCATTTCTTAGTTTCAAACTATTTTCATCGTTATTTTAATTAAAGCAATTTGTAATAGTTTAATTTAATCATAGCAGCATTGAATACGATTTTTTCACTACTTTTTTTGTATTAACCTGGAATTATCTTGACAAACTTTTTAAAACATGCAGATATCATATATCAGTTTCAACAGTGAATTCAAACATTAGTTAAGATGTTAACACATAATGTTGTGTAGCAGTGTTGAGCTGTGTAATAGCACTGAAATGAGCTCATCTGAGTTTTTTTCCCTGTCATCTTAGGTTCTGTGTGTAGGAAACCTGTATAATCCAGATGTCAGATATTCCTTCAGTATTCCCATTGAGGAGCAGCGGGAGCAGTTTATATGGGATCCGTCAGGGCCGTGGCAAGAGTGCAGTCGCATGTGTCAAGGTGAAAATCTCAACATAAAACTAGACTCAAAATTCTTGTTTGATTGTGTTGCTGTATTTATGCTGGAAGTTTTTACTGTGGGGATTTTGAATATCTCTTTTTATCACATAATAAATCATACTCCAAAAATGCTTTTTTTGCCATGCAAAGAATTTATGTTATATTAATCAGTGCAAATGTTATATGCTGAAACCCTACAGGTCAAACCTTTCGGAAACAATCTTTTATTTTAGTCTATGTGGTTATCCGCTAATGTCAATGTGAGGCTTAAAATATCTGAACATTGCATTATTCTACATCTAAAATTCTTGTTTGATTTTGTTGGCATATAAAAGTTTAATGTTTTTACTGTGGGGATTTTCAATATCTTTTTTAATCTCATAATAAATCAGAAAAAAATGTTTAAAAAAAATAGATAAACAAGGGTAATTTCGCTATGCAAAGGAATAAAATGTTATATAAATTAGTCCAAATATTATATGTACAAACCCTACAGTAAAAACCTTCAGAAAATAGTTATAAATGAAACTATCAAGTTTGATGTATGTACATGCTGCTGAGGTGAAGAAATAAATTCTATTATAATCATAATATACTGTAAAAAAAATAATTTCGCCATGGAAAAGAAGGAAATGTTATATAAATTAGTGAAAATGTTATATTTACAAGCCCTACAGTGAAAACATTCAAAAGATAGTTATGAATAAAACTATTAAGTTTGGTTTATACACGTGTTGCTGAAGTGGAGATATTAACTCAATCATAATCAGAATATACTGCAAAAATAATAATTTCGCCATGCAAAAGAAGAAAATGCTATATAAATCAGTGCAAATGTTATATGTTGAAACCCTACAGTAAAAACCTTCCGGAAATAATTATGAATAAATCTGTTAAGTGTGGTTTATGCAAGTTCTGCTAAAGTGGAGAAAAATCTCAAGAGAATGACCATTAAGATATGAACTTAATTGAAGTCTACAGGCACAAAAAGAAAAAAAAAATCACATCACAAAACTACATTAAAAGTTAAATGTGTGTTTTAGATGTTCTCTCTGCACCATACTCATATTTTTCTACCAAATTATGAAAATAGAATAGACCACAATCTTTTATTTTGGTCTATGTGGTTATCCGCTAATGTCAATGTGAGGCTTAAAATATCTGAACATTGCATTAATCTAGATCCAAAATTCTTGTTTGATTTTGTTGGCATATAAAAGTTTAATGTTTTTACTGTGGGGATTTTCAATATCTTTTTAAATCTCATAATAAATCAGAAAAAAATGTAAAAAAAAAAACAAAACAAATATAGATAAAAAGGGTAATTTCGCTATGCAAAGGAATAACATGTTATATAAATTAGTTTAATTATTATATGTACAAACCCTACTGTAAAAACCTTCAGAAAATTGTTATGAATAAAACTATCAAGTTTGGTGTATGTGCATGCTGCTGAGGTGAAGAAATAAATTCTATCATAATCATAATATACTTTAAAAAATAATAATTTCGCCATGCAAAAAAGAAAATGTGATATAAATCAGTAGAAATGCTATATTTACAAGCCCTACAGTAAAAACCTTCAAATGAGAGATATGAATAAAACTATCAAGTTTAGTATATGCAAGTGCTGCTGAAGCAGAGAAATAAACAAATCACAATCATAATATACTGCAAAAAATAATAATTTCACCATGCAAAAGAAGAAAATGTTATATAAATCAGTGCAAATGTTATTTGAACAAGCCCTACAGTAAAAACCTTTAAAAGAGTTTTATGAATAAAACTATCAAGCTTGGTGTATACATGTGTTGCTGAAGTGGAGAGATTAACTCAATCATAATCAGAATATACTGCAAAAATAATAGATTTGCCATGCAAAATAGGAAAATGTTATATAAATCAGTGCAAATGTTATATCTACAAACCCTACAGTAAAAACCTTTAAAAGAGAGTGATAAAGCTATCAAGTTTGGTTTATGCAAGTGCTGCTGGGTTGGAGAAAAAAACACAATCATAATCAGAATATACTACAAAAAATAATAAATTCGCCATACAAAAGAAGAAAATGTTATATAAATCGGTGCAAATGTTATATCTATAAACTCCACTGTAAAAATCCTCTAAAAAAAAATAATAAAAAAAATAATATATATATATATATGTATGTATATATATATATATATATATATATATATATATATATATATATATATATATATATATATATATATATATATATATATATATATATATATATATATATATATATATATATATATATATATATATATATATATATATATATATATATATATATATATATATATATATATATATATATATATATATATATATATATATATATATATATATATATATATATATATATATATATATATATA